TGAGAAATGTTATTAAAGAAAGAAATACACCCTCCAGTAGGATTCAAACCTGCATCTGCCTTTGCAAGAGAAATGTTATTAGATCTGACGTGTTTCAGCCTGACTTAGCCATGAAAGACATCACTGATCAAGCAAGGCCGAATAGTACCTTTTTTTCTTTGATGAGATTTCTCAAATATTCAGACCTATAGTCAAAAATAAATATACTTTATTATTCAGAATTTACTGAAATATGTGTATCCACTAAAAATAATGTTTAAAGTCATAATATATATTTCATTCTAAAGTTTCCTGAAGTGATTCCTAGTCTTAAAGCTATGTTTATGTTGGATAAAAAGCCACTTTAAAGCAAGATTTTAAGGAAATGGACTGCATCTGATATGCAGTAAACAGGATAAATATGTCTATATGCTGCTTCAGACAGACACTGATCTATTTAATATTCAAAATAATTATACTTATTTCACATTTTTAATTAAGGACAACAAAAATGTCATAACTGGAACAAAATGAATTCTGGTGGGAAATTTTGTTGAGTAATATTGTAAAGTTGGTTTTAAAGATATTAATTTTTTCTAATGTGAAAGTGAAAATTCAAATAAATTATTTTAAGCCATAAATCAAATAGCTTTTATCTTTGCTTAACTGATCCCCTCCTTTCTTTGAAGGAATTGTCAGGTGTCTATTTATAAACAAAAAAATCAGCAAAATCAATATAAAAGATATCAGTTATAGCATAGTTACAAATAAATGGATTAACAGATATTGTTAGATTCTAGTTTACTTATACCAGCATATACAAAATTGATATTATTATTATTATTAAAAAAACAAAAACATGTGAATCTCTATATTTTTACAATTATTGTGGCTCTCCTATTTTTTTTCCAACTGGTTTTGTAATCATCTTAAAACAGTCTACCATTGCAATATGGATATCACAACCTAGTGTAACCATAGCACAAGATGGCTCTAATATAGCAAAAAGTTAAGCATTTGTGTCACACCTTTTCAACTTTACTCCTAGAGTCCATAGCCCAACATATCATACCATTTTAGAATCTGGCAGACTCCGTGAGCAAATTAAAAACATTCCGGACCAGATCCAGACCCGTAATCCTGAAATTTTGGATTCTCAAGTTTTCATTATTGCAAATGTTTTTGGCGATTTATTTACATTCATTTTTGCAACAAATTTTTTTGTATGATAATGATTTTTATAACTTTGAAATAAATTTGAGAATAATTGAAATTAATTGTGAAATTTTTAAATAAAGTGGCAGCAGAAAAATTCTCATTAAACTTTTAAAAGATAAGCTAAAATATTAATACAATACTTAAATGCAGTGATCAATTTTGTTATTCTGTAGTCTATTGTTGCCTATCGCATCTACTGTTCCCTATCTATTGTGATGAAGGCCCAATCAAGAGCCCTCTGCAGGAGTTAACTTAAATGCCACCCAATAGGGTGAGTTTTAAGCTTGTATGTAGTAAATACTGTATATCCCACTAGTATCATACCATATACATTTTTTTTTAGTATTTTTATAGGCAGCTTTCTACTGGTACTGTCTTTCATTTATTGAGGTATACTGTACAGTATCTTCAAAAACCCCCAACCCCAGTCACATAATACAGGCTTACAGATATGTCTCATACATACACCAAGAATAGCAACCTTGTTAATGCACTTTGTGTACTATTGAAACAAACTAGTTAGCTCAATAAGCCTACCATTAAATCCAGTTCCCAGTACCCACTATCTGCCAGGTTTGTTTATGGTGATGTGGTCTCACCAAAGACATCTGCAGGTAGACAAGCCAACTACCATCATCAGAGCAGACAATGTCACCAATTTTGTCAGCACAGGATACCCTTCCATAACTGAACAGAATGGCATCAAAGAAGACAGGAAAACACTGTACATTTCAAGTTACAATAGAGTTTGGTAAACAATATGGCAAAATTTTGCTAAAAAATTGAAAATCTAAATAATAACCACAAATATTGTGATTAAAAAAAAAAAAAATGACACCATAAAGTCAGTAACTTGAACTTGTTACTAGAGTAAGATATTAAATCCTCAAATTTAAAAAAAATACCTAGCTAATTATAGCATGCATATTACCATAATACAGTATTAAAAAGAAAAATGTGCTCAAAGATTTGCTCTTTAAAACTAAAAGTAATCTGAAAAAAGAAATTTGAAAAACAAGGGGAAAAAATAAAGGAATTGCAGGATAAGTAAATATTTCCATGTTTTATGACATCATAGTACAAGTGAATATAAGACAAAATTCAAAGGAATTTATAAGGAGTGGGGATTTGAACAACATTGTTTTTCTTCCTTGAAATTATTTATAGTAACACTTTTTTTTTGGCAAAAGTTGTTTGTTCAGAAAAACAGCCAGATTACACACATTATTAGGAGGTGCTTAAAAGTTCTCAGCTTAACCCACTTATCAAAGTCTTAGCATTATTTTGTCACTGTAGATGGAAAGACTGTTATTTCATATTGTAAGGTGCTAATTTGCAGGATCCTTACTCTTACATTTGAAGTTGTTTCAGATCAATGACTGAACAAAATCAATGGAAAGTGTAGAATATTCAAGATGCTGCATGGTCTGAGAGGCCTTCAATGGTGTCAGGTCATGAAATTGTTGATAACACTCAATCTAATTTAGACTAAATCAGCAAATTTTGGGCAAAGAATTGCTGATCAGAAATATCCAGTGAACACATTGGGTTTATAATTAATGAGTAGTTGGGTATGCAGAAGCTGTAAGTCAAGTGGGTGCCAAAACGTTGGAATGCCGACCAGAAATGAAATCAAATAGAAACCTTCAATTTGATTTTGTAGCATTTTCAGTGATCTAGTGATAATTTCTTTTGAAAAATTGTCACTATTGATGAACCATGGTTACATCATTACGATCTGGAGACCAAAGAATAGTCCATGGAGTGGTAGCACTCTGGTTACTTATGGCTGAAGAAATTAAAGACCCAAAAATCAGCAGAAAGGTCATAACCCCGTTTTGGAAGACGAGGAAGGTATCTTCAGAAGAGCCAGTTAATGCAGAATACTACTCTAAATTGCTGTACCAATTTAAAGGAGACATTGAAAGAAAAATTGTGAGGGAGGTTATAGAAAAGTGTTGTATTTTCAGGACAATGCCCCTGCTTACAGGGTTGGCAAGACAATGGATGCTTTGAAGAATTTGGGGTTTGAGTGCATAGACCATCCACCAGATCTTGTTTAAACTATTTCTGGACTTTAAAACATTAAAAGGAGAAAATTTTCAAATAATTCAGAGGTGATAGCAGCAGCAGCAGGGCAGTATTTCAGTAGCCAAAACATCAGAGTTTATTTTGGGAAGCGTTATAGAAATTTTGTGAAATATCCAGGCTGAAGGTGGAATGTACATCTCGTGATGTAGCTCATTCCTTTCTTGGTAGGAGCAGAGAATTTTTTTTCAGCACCCCCCACCCTGTATTTTCAATTAAGAATTTTTTAATATTAAAAATGTTTAAACAAAGAATAAAGCAATTCAGTGACCTTTTATCATGACAGGGCAACTTAAATGGATGAATAAACAACAAATAGTGATGTCAAATGTTTCTAAAAATGAATTCAAAAAAGCCAAGTTATTCCTTGGTTCTTATATACAATCATATTTTTGGAGAAAGGAAAGAAAGTGGCCAACTTTTTCAATGGACCACATTTGCCCTGTAATGAATACTTTCTTTAATTTTAAAAACAAATCCTGAGCTGAATGCAGCCAGAAAATAGGCACACTATTCTAACAGCAGCAAAACAATGAAATTTTTAATTTTTATCTGGATTCATATTGGGGATATGCATTTTATTTTTTTTAATTGTATAATAGAAAAGTACAGATATATTCATCAAAGAATTCAAATTCTCCATTAAAGTAAATTATTACTTAAAGAAAATTTAAAAAAATTTAATTTTTCATTTGTTTTGTAAATATTTTTTTTTATAAATACTATGACATGTTTTGTACCCTGAGTTTGAATTGTCAGTTACTTTCATTACGTATAATTTACAAAAGGTAATTTTTTTTTTTTTTTTTTTTAAACTCATGTTATATTTAAAAAAAAAAAAAAAATCTCTGCAATCTTTTACCATATTCTTGGGCTTAAATATACTTAAAACAAGTGTTCTTAGCTTAGCATTTACTTAAACATAAATAAAAATTTACGGAAGACACCAACTCAGAGGTAAACAGGATTTGTATTGGTAGCAAGCACACATTATCAACTCCCATAAGGTGGCTTGAATACATTCAGTAGGAATTTGATCATTTCCATCATGACCAAACAGCCAAAAGAATTGATATCAATAAATGAAAATGATTTATAATTGCAGGAAGCTTTCTCTTTAGAAAAAGATATCAGCAATTTTGAAAATAGCTCAACAAAAAGAGAACCATCAAGTAAGCAATCAATTATAGATAAAACATAAAAAAAAAAATTTTCAGTCATTATATTTTACAAAAGAAAAATCTTATTTTGCGATAACATTTTTATCCCAATGAATGGTTTGTTTGTTTGTTTTTTCCTTCTTCTGAGAGAACATAATAAAAGATGATAAAGTGAAGAGGTGGGGGGGAGATGAAAGGGAACTTTTTTTCTTCTTTTTTTACTTAATGAATATTATCAAATGGCAGTGGCTGTGTGAGCAATGATGCCACAATCCTTACAGGGTTCGTAGATGGCTATTATGGCTTCTTCACAGCCAAACGTACACACTCACACAGAAAAAAAAAATAAAATGTCAATGGGTTTTTTTCCTTTCATCTGAAAAGCCATTTGACAAAGTTTTTTTTTTAAAGATTAAAAAAAAAAAAAAAAGACAGATATTATTCTTTTTATATTTTACTATGTTGTTGCTGCTGTTGCTGCTATTGTGTCCACCACCGGGCATTCCCTTGCCATGAACCTCTTCTTGCTTAAGGGCAAATTGTTTTTTCTGTTAATCATCTTTGTTCTGCCTTGTGTTTAGGAGGACGGAACAAACCTTTTGCTTTCTTACCACCAGCCTTCCAGTTCCTCCAGCTGTTCACGCGGTCTTTTCGACTCTCCTGTTAAAAACAAATTAACCAAAATCACTTGTCTTTAAAATAAAAAGACAAGAAATTGATTTTTTTTTTTTAATTACACAGTAATAATAAAAATTTTAGTGATATTTTATTTAAATTTAGAGATGAAATCTACCAACTATATTTGCAACAGATTATTAAATGTACTGTGTGTGTATATATATATATGTGTGTGTGTGTGTGTGTGTATAGAGATATATACCCCCTGACAAGTGGACAGACAGGTTCACCTACGAAACTCTAGAGTTGGGATGATGAAGGTAACAGTAATCAGCTAAATGACAACCTTTTACTTGGATTAGTTATATATATATATATATATAATTACCCTGAACATGTTAGGTGAAACCTTGGTGGATAGGTTCTTTCTGACTAGGTTTTTAAATTTTGCTCTACTTAGTGCATTGAGCACTTTATGTTTTTACTTAATTTACTGTCGGTGTTTTTTCTTTTGATTGAATTTTTTTCCCTAATATTGGTTTGTCCAAATATGTTTTTTTATTTACAAATTGTCTTATCTGTTTAGTATAGGCATTAACATAATATATATTTTTTTTTTTTTCTTTCTGGGTCAATGATCTTTTATTTTAGACATCAACTTAACAAACACAGAAATGGATATTTTTTTTTTTTTTTTTATATATACAAAAATGGGTTAAGTCCATGAAATATGTTCTTGTTCTTCATGCTATGTCCAGTCAGAATGTTTATGTGCAATTGTTCTTTAAGGCAAATACAATTAAAAAATAACAAATTGTGTTGATTAATTTTAATGAGCAATTTTTCCATATTACAAATAATCATAATTTGGAAAAGTTGGTTATTAAAATTCATTGACATGAAGTGTCTGATTTTTAATATTATTAGAAGTAGACATTTAAGATCATTATAAAATGTGGTTGGCCATTACTCACAAAATACTTTTTTTTTTTTTCACCTTTTCACACACGCACAAAAAAAAAAGATGGGGGATATTGAAAAGTTCTCACCATGACCCACTTCACAAACAAGTTATTTTGAAGCTGGAGAAAAAAAAATTCTCGGTTGAGCCAAAAACTTTTCAACCCACAATTATAAATTAATGTTTTTTTTCTTTCTTCAATAGATCACTTTTTAAGGTTTATCATCCATTGACTTAGGGAAAAAAAAAAATCTTTTTTTTACAAGTTCAAATTTGTCAAATTCATACCTCATAATTCTTTTGCCATTCCGCTTCAACTTTCCTTTTTTCTTCATCCAATATTTCCTCCTCTGCTTTTCGTTTTCTGCCAATAAAAAAATGTGGAAACACTTTTGTGACAAATCTCATGACATATATAGGAATGAAAATAAAAATAAACAACTTCATTCAGTTAAGATATGACTTGTCACTTTTTCCTTTTAATTGATGTTCAAGATTTTGATCAAATTTCAACTGCTATTTCAGAGACAGGCTATTGGAATTGTGCACAGAAATTCTGAAATATTTTATTTGGTGAGGCCATTTTCATCTATTAAGAGTTAACACTAGAAATGATCTTTTCTCTTTAAAAAACGAAAAAACATTGAACAATATGCTTATACCACAGCCAGGTATGTAACTAAATATTTTAACACAGAAAAGAGAAGAATTATTGAATCAGATCAAATCAAGGATTCCAAAAAAAAAAAAAAAAAAAAAAAAAAAAAAAAAAAAAAAAGAATAATTTTGTCAATAAAATTAATATTCAAAAGTAACTAACAATATTTTGATAAAAATTTAATTATGTACATTTTTTAGCTATCACAAGGCAAAAATTTATTAACATAGCACTATAACTCAATGATTGACAAGCTTATATTTATTGCTATAGAAAGAAAGAAATCTCTTAATGGTAAAGCTTGAGAGGAAAAAAAACAAAACAAAAAACCCAAAAACTATCCCGCAGTATAAAACTGCTATTAATTAATAAAATTTCATGTCAAGCTATTCATATTTACTAAAAGAATTAAAGTGAAATGAAATGGGTGTAGCCAGCAAAATAAGTGGCCTCATAGTTTGTTGATATTTGCATTGAAAAACAATGAATATTCAAGAGGAGGAAAACAAAAAAACAATGAAGGCTTTAATTCAATTCAGTCATGGGGGTTATCTTCATAGTCTTATATATATATATATATATATATAAACAAAAGGAAAACTTAACTTAGCCAATATGTTTTGTTGTTTAATGAACTTTATCAAGGTAAATGTAAAGATTCTATTTTGCAACAATATTTTTATACAAAAGTAAAAATGTAGTTAATATTCTAAAAATTTTCAATTTAAGAGGCATTCAAATATTCATCAGGTTAATTGAAAAGTTTGGGCAAATTTATGAAGTATGCCAAGTGACATAATTATTATTTAATGTCTAATAAATGAAAGTGAGTAAATGATGTTGAATTTTGTTTTTTTATACAATCAATATTATCTTAGTATAGGATAAATTTATGTATTATATATTTTAAATAACAGGAGGTTATGAATTTAAGTTTTCTTTTAATTTTTTAAAATATCTTTAGCCATATGTAGGCTTAGGAAAGGAGTAATTCTTTCAAGTATTGAGATATTTGAAGAAATTCAGGGTGCAGATTTATATTTTGATAAGATTTGATAGTGACACTCTCAAGAATTTGTTGTCCAAGTTATTTTCTCTTTTAATAAGTGAGGCATTCTTTCGATTAAACTTGTGGTTGAATTTATTTTTATGTATAAGTAATGCATTTGATAAATGTTTATTTTATATAAAAACCTTCAGAATCTTATTTAAAATATAAAATACATAAATTAATCTGAAACTAAATTTAAATACTATTTGCATAAAAATAATAATTTATTCTTTATTCATATTGTCCTTTTATATATATATTTTCTGTTTATATGTTATTTTTAAAAATAACGTATAAACAAAAAATACATTAAATAATATAGGCCTGTGTTTTTAATATTAAAAATAGCCCCGAGCCTCCAAAGTAATAGCTTGCAAGCTTCTGCTGAATCAAATGCACATATGGCAATACTAAAGTCAGGATTGTTATGGTTGGTCCACAAGGAACCTTCATGGAACAGAAGGGGTTTTTGAGACTGTTTAATGTTAATGACCTGTTCATTTATGGGGAAGTAGATGCAAACTCAAAACCAACTACAATTCATTTAAACATTTTAACATGTTTATTTGCATATATGTTCCTATATAAGGTCCTTATTTCATTTTACTTTATTTTTCTTATTTTAAATCATTTTCTTTCCATTGATATGTGCTATTATTATTGATACTTTTTATTTTGCTTTATTTTATATTATATTTTATCATGACATACTTTCTTGATATTATTAGTTTTAGTTAGTTTAGTAATATTATCACTAACACTTGATTTTTGGAAAGGGAAAAAAAAAAAAAAAAAAAGAGAGTTGACACCTTGATTTTCCAAGGCCCCTTTTTTGTTTACTTATGTTTTCAAATCCAATGTCTTCCTAATTTAGAATTTATATTTCTTATTTCCAACCTTATTTTCAATCTTAAATATTAATCTGAGCTTAAATTCAAAATTAAATTACCATTCATTTAAATATTTTAACCCCAATAATATTCCACCCTAACAATAATATATCTTGCATGAACCAGAATATTTATAAAAAAAAAAAAAAAAAAAAAAAAAAGTATCAACCCAAAATATAAATAAAAATATGATAATTCCAGCACTTGAAAATTGCTTCAGCATGAAACTCAAATTTGTGCAATTAATGTAAGATATTATGTATATTGCTTAATATATATATATATATATATATAATTATTTGTTTTTATATATCAAGAACAATAAATATTGGGGAAAATTGTATGACAAAGTGGAAAAAGTTTTCCTGTGATGCGTTTTGTCCTTTAGGACTTCAAAGTAAATTTGTTATGTTGGTGAAACTATGCTTGTGCATGAACGAGGGATGCTGGTAATTTTAACTCTAAAAATTTTTCTTTAATCCATTATCATAATGTGGGATATTTAGCACAAAAGTGATGAAAAGAAAAAGAAAAATCTAAATTAAATCGGCTATATTAAAATAAAAACTTAAAACTTAAATTTCTCAGCATCCCTTGTTCATGCACATGTGTAGTTTCACCAACATCAATTTAGTCTGATGAAAACCTAAAGGACAAAATGTGTCACAAGAAAACTTTTTCTACTTTGTCATATATATATATATATATATATATATATATAGCAGCACCACTGGAATTTCAAGGTGCTATTATTATTTAAGAAAAAAAAAAAAAAAAAACTCACCGCTCATGCATTTCCTTTGCTTCTTTTTCTTGACGCAACCGCTCCAAGTCTGCAAACAGCTTGCATGTCTGCACATAGACTGCATGCTTGTGCTGGAGGCAGAAAAACATAATTTGTTGTACAAATTAATGCAAGGCAATTGTCTATTAGATAATCTTGAAACAAAAGAAATAACTAATTCCAGAAATAAACAAGCTGACAATCTGGAAAAAAAAAAAAAAAAAAAAAAAAAACCATTTCCTTTTTTTTTGTAATTTGCTTCACAAATATCGATTACTGAGAGAGTTTTAAAGTTAGATAACTTAAACCAGAAATAATTTAATTACTCTAATTTCCTGACGCAACAATTTTTTTTCTCTACATGACCGATTTAATAGTGACTGTATCTGACAGTGGTAATCAAATCAAATGAAAAAAGAAGATGCAAGATTGTGCTAAGTTATAATCAATATGGAAGAAAGGTAATCAACATTTACCATATTCTAAGTGACAGAAGAATAATTTTACCAGTTTTTTGGATATTGTAATAGTTCAATGGTAAAACTTTTTCTTAATTCTTATGACACTAACAATCAGATAATGTAGGGTATTTTTTATCCTTATTTAAAAAAAAAAATTTATAGATCAAAAGAAAAAACATTAAAAAAAAAAATGACTACTAGCATCACACATTTGTATGTGCACATGTGATATAATGTACTGGATAAATGAAAATTAGACAAATGACTGGAGATGCAAAAGAGATTAAAAGACTGGTGTCAGCAAGGTAAAGAATTTCATAAAATTTCTGATATAAACAAAAAAAAAAAAAAAATAAATAAATAGATAAATTAAATTTTTGCCCCCTTATAAAAAAAAAAAAAAAACCCTACTTCGGTGACTTGGTTAGCAAGTTTGTGCTCAGATCATAATAAAATGATCCTCATTGGATGCCTTAACTTGCAGCTTAGTAAACATCAATTAAAAATAAATCCCTTACTTTTTGTTGATCTTCTTCAACAGCATCCACTGGCTTGCCTTCTTTCTTGTTCTGTTTTCGTTTCTGTTTATTCTGTAAAAAATAAAAATTTAAAAATTAAAATCCATTTTGCTTTTCTTTTAAACCATATATACATTATAAGTCAGAATGTGAAAAGTATCAATTCCCTTTTGAATATATATATATATATATATAAAAAATGTGGATAAAATTAAAAATTCCCATAATAATAATCTTATTAGAGAGTTTCATATTAATCAATCACAAAGGAATACTTCTACCTGTAATTGCAAGGTAAAAACTGAATGCCCAGTGGTGGGGGAATATGCATGACCATCACAAAGAAGATATAAACCAGAAAAATGTTTATATTGGTATATCAGCTGGGAATTGGAAACAGCATTTTTATAAACATTGCCATTCCTGCAGTAACAAATCCCTTAAACATCAAACAGCACTGTCTAAATATTATTGGGATCTTGTGGAAAACGCCTCCACCCTGCAATTGAAATGGAAAATTATCCTCAGGGCTTGAACTCCTAAAAACTTCAGAGACAGGTGTGACATCTGCATTAAGGAGAAAATCTTTATAATTAAATATAATAGACCTGAGGATTTACTAAACTATTGCAATGAAATTGTCTTCAAATGCAGGCACAAATATCAACTAAAAGTAGCAAACTACACCTAATCTTTAGGAGACTTGTCCATGGGAACTCAAGAATTTGAATCATCAGGACATGGAGTAATACTTGATTATATGTAGGGTTAATTGTATATGTGTGAATCTATTTGTATGTGTAGATGTGTATCTATGTAAGTATATATGTATGGTTACACGCGTGTGCGTAGGTATGTGTATATATAATTATGTTTTTTGTAAAGCTATTTGTTTATTTGTGTATCTATACAGCCAGTTGTTAACTGGGTGTATAGATGCACTTGTAGATATGTGTGTGTGTGTGTGTGTATATATATATATATATATATATATATCTCACGGCTGTTTAAAAGGCTGTTTGTCATATAGGAAAATCCAACATGGCGCGTAAACAAAATATTCGGCAAAAAATCTCATTCATCAGTAACATTTTTAACACCTCATAGAATGTAAAGTTCTTAAAGAAAACCTATGCCAAACTGTTTTCCTGAATCCTTGATGACTTGGCTGTCCGAAAATGATAATATCAAGATGAAATAATGGAAACTGACCATGAAAAATACAATTATGCGCAACAGGTTTTTATGAAAAAATATTTATTTTCGCTTCAAAATAACATCATTCAAAATTCATTCCTTTCTCTTTCATTTGGCATGAACATCATTGAATAAAAAAAAACGGCTAAATGGCCCGGTGATGGGAAATACGAAAGATATACGGCGAAAAAAACAATGTCATCTGCTAAGTGTGGTTGTCATCGCCCGAGTCATGGGGTGTTAAAAACAAAACAAAACTCATCAAGCCATTGTTCAAACATAGGTTATATCAAGCCCTAAAATGTTGACCCCTTTTTTTTCACTCTTTGCTTTTATCTGGGAGTGGTGGGTTTTATTACAACTTGTTCTAAGGTTTATTGCTGGCTGGCTGACCTTTGACCCAGATGTCAAAGTCAACTAGGTTTAATTTTCCTTATCGCTTCTATTTTTGGGGAAAAAAAACTTTTGGTTTCTGATGGTTAGGAATTGCAGATAAATCTTTTGCCTTTTACTAAAGATTTCTGTGGCCATGTGTCAATTTTTTTTAACCCTTGGCAGTCATATAATTGAAAATTACCAATGGATTTTGTCTAGGAATGTTAATTTCCTTCAAAACTCTCAATTTTATGCCTGAAACAGTTTGATTATGGTTTAGGCTTTCTGATTTTCAAAAAAAAAAAAAAAAAAAAAAAAGGTTAATTTCCCATTAATGGGGGAAATATGCAAAATTTTCACTATTTTTTCATATTTTACCCACTGAAAAAAATTTTTGAGTCATTTACACCAGCCAATTTCACTTTTAAATGAAAGAATATATCCTTTGCCTTCAGAAAATACCTAGTTTCATGGGGTTCAGATCAAAAGTTTCCTTGATTTTAGTTTAGGTGATGATAAAACAGTCATTTTTCAATATTTTACCCCTATAAAAGTATGAAAATCCATTTTTTGAGAGAAAATAAACTGTGACAAAATGACTTTTGCCATTTTTGTGATGATTTTTACCTGAGAAAGAAAATTTTTACCAAAGCAAACCTGAATTGACTTTATTTAAGTTCAGTGGGACTATAGGAAACCTCAAACAGCTGTGATTATATATATATATATATGTACGGGTATGTATAGATGAATATGGTGATTTTCTAAGTGTAGCAAATGTAGCAAAAGACCGAAAGTATGGGGCACCCACTGAGGAACAAACTCAGAACTCAGTCATCAGTTGTAATTGTTCTAGCGAGACAAGCTTGCTAGGCATTACAACCATGCCGAGGTGCACTGTGTATGGATGAATATGTTATAACTGTTCTAGTATTATCATTTTCATTATTGCTACTCTACTGTTATTTCCTTCATTTGTATTATTATTACTACCTACCTCTGAAAAATTGTATTTTCTGCCAACTAATTTTGCTGACTTAATAGAATGTATGTGTATATATGTACGTATGCATGTTTTTATGTGTGTACTATATATATATATATATATATATAAAGGTAATAAATCCATTGGTATATAATCCAAGTGAATTCTAGTAATATAAAATATTAAAATTGATTAAAAAAAAAAAAAAAAAAAAGAACAACAACAACAAGAGCCCAATATATTTATAATTCATCTGTTGAAATAAGCCTGTTCCCCATATGAGGTAATTTTGGATTTTTATTGTACTATTTTATATATATATATATATATATATATATATATATATATATATATATATATGAGAGAGAGAGAGCAGCCTTAATTCCTGATCACTTCTTGAGATTGACTGCCACAACTTTATAAAACATTTTAAAAATAATTCTAATATTTAATGCTTAATTACACTTTGTCCTGCTAGGAATATTTTTTTTAGCAGAAGTTAATGAGTAGTGGTAATGTCTGTGAGGGAAAAAAAAAAGCTGCAATTTTCCCCCTTGCATGACAGATTCAAATTCAGTTACTATTAATATGTAATTATTATTTCATTCCTACTATCAGAAACTCATGTGTTTTTTTATATAAGTAAACATCAAAGAAAATGTTTTGGCCTTTTTTAACAAATCTTGACTTTTATATAACATATAAACAGATACTTTAATAGTAGAATTTAACTATATTGAATTTTCATTAAATTTTACTCAAGTTTTTTCTTAGTGTTGCCATTTAGATGATGTAGGAATATGCTAAATTCTAATATTTTTCCTTTCTTTCCAAATAACTGTTAGTATCTTGAAATTTCTTAACTCATAATGTCTCACACAGAAGAAACTTCAACTAGAAGAAAAAGGAAAAAAAAAATTCTTTCACATTATGCTGTAAATTAGAGATATTTGAAAAACAGGGCGAAGCTCCTAATTCATTGAATTTGAAAATTACCAAATAAGGATTGCAGAATTTGAACAAAACATTAAAACTTCTGCTTGAAGATAATTCACTGAATACTCTCACTTCAAATGACTTAAAAGAATGAATAAATGAAGACACTAATGCATTACAATAAAATTCAATGGTAGAATCGCTTCAAAATGATGAAGACTGGAACTCAGTAAAGAAAGCTATTAATGAGGTCATCAAATTCATGGAAATTACATGCACTTATATAAAATGTACAAGTGTATGTAATTTGCAGAAATACCTTACTAAAAAAAGAAAAAAAAAAGAAAGTAGAACAGCAAAAAGTTAAGCAAAATGAGAAAAAGAAATAAGAACACATGAAAATAAAACTTATTGAGCATTAAACATTGCTAATTAATATTTACTTTCATGAGACATTTAATTTTTCATATATTGCAATAAGTTCTTGTGTTAAGTTACACATGCCACGTTCTCATGTTCAAACTACACTGAAGTTCGGATATGAGAACTTCTACTGTATTTAAAAACAGTTTTTTTCTTTTTTTTTTTCTTTTACAAAATTTTAAAAATATATATCAAAAGATCTAATAATAATCCTATTTTTTTTTTTTTTATAAAATTCAATCTGTGTACATGAATCATTTTATGGTGCAATTGATTGATTGATTTGTTCTTTTACAGTTTATCAATCCTTTGCAGGTTCTTTAAAGTCAGATAATATTTTTTCTTGGAAATAATGATTTAGTCATACAAGTCTTACTAAATAACCCATAGCTGGGGGAAGAAGAGGTGGATTCATACCTTATTCAAAAGTATTTGTGTTTAAGTGAATATAACAAACCCAACTGAAATTGGAACTCAGCTCTCCGATTAAAAGTTCTGAGCCATTATTTGTTATACGACATGCACATCCAAGCTTACAACACCTAGTATTCTCAAATGGTCACCTATCTAGATACTGATTAAGCTCAATGTGTTTCAATGGAATATGAGACTATAAACTTTAAAGTGCAAATTAATCAGAATTTGTCAAGTTAACAAAATGAATATGTTAAAAATAATTGAAATTGTAATTTGAAAATTTGAGTGGTATTTTTAGGTCCTCATTAGCTGAAGTAGAATAATTTCTTCAAACATGGTGAAACTCCAGAGATAATTGTCTCTTAACCATAGTCAGATGAAGGCCAGGAGTTACCCAGCCTGTCATATTTTGCATTTTCACCTAGAAAATCTTGTACTTACCATCTCTTCGACTCTTGATATAGCCTCATCAATGATATCTCGACATCTCTTATAGCCTTCTTCATTCTCAAGTGTCTTGTAAGCCTTGTTCACAGCTAAAAAAATAATTAATAAAACTGATTAGACAGGTCAAGAGTCATACAGAAAACTAAGTAATAAGTTAAAGATTGCAAGAAGGATCACAGCTAGCAGGGAAACATGATGAGAGAGAGAGAAGGATCAAGCCAAAGAAGACCTTTTTGGTCAATTAAAAACAACATTATTTTGATAAAGCAGAGCCAGTGTGCTGCCTGAATGCAAATATTGGTTAAAGATGAAGAGGCAGTTGAGTTGCAAAATATGTCAAAGACAACAACTTAGATGCTATTAGAAGATCAGTGTTAAAACAATTGTCCTACTCACATCTCAACTATCAACCATGTTATTTAGAAAACCATAATCATGACCTGATAAGGAAAATAAAAATTAAAACCAGACAACTGAGCCCAAATTGTAAAGTGCAGTTTTTGTGCAAAGTAGAGTAGGACCTTACCATCAGAGGATCAACGACCTTACCATCAGAGGATCAACGACTTTCATTTCTGGTCTGACTGGTTGGCCTGTTCAAAACTTTTAGCAAATGAAAACCAATTTATAACATCTATTCCAAAGGAGTTAGAGGAATAGTTTTTTTTTGTTTTTTTTTTAATAATATCAAAGTAAAAACTAAATTTTAATGTCCTCAAAGTCTGAATAAAATGTTTTTTTTTTCTTGTTCATTTCTAAAGTTGATATGCAATACAAGTCAAATATATTTTTCATAGTGGGAAAAAATTTTGAATCTGCTGTCAACAAATAGGCCAACAGTGTTGATTTCCCGGTGAAAAATTTTGGAAAGATCTCAATATTATCTCTGAATTTTTACCATTTTTGAGGAAATTATTCTACCTCAGATAACTAGGTCCTACTGTACACATCTCACAATTCTTTGTGTTTGAGAGGTCAAATTAAAAATTTTCTTCTATACAAAAATGAAACCTCAAAATAAAAGACACACAGTCTCTCAGTTTATTGAGAATTAAGGAAAACTTAAAATTGAACATTTTGGCATTTGGGTAACAAATGAATAAAATGTCTGTGATTCATTTATTGTTGGGTTTCCTAAAAATTCCATTGCTGAGAGGCAAACCAAAAGTAAATTATAAAAGAAAAACTAGAAAGATCAACAAAATATTGAAGCATTTGTTGTTGCTCTTCAAATTCAATGGTATAAACAATTTCACAATCAAGGGATTATTTTCTACAATTTACAGTTTTTTCAAACTTTTTGGCATTAGTATTTTAACTTTATACTTAATATATTACTGAGTGAGCAAAAAGTCTTAGAGGGGAAAAAAAATACTTGTATGAGGGGCTGCTAAAAATTTCTTGACCCAACCATGAAAAGAATGACTTAGAGCCATGAAACATACATTCTATTCCATATAGTCACCTTTAAATTCAAAACACTTGTTTTCAAATTTCTTTAACCCTTCAAGAAATTATGTTGCTTGGTTGATGGAATACTGTTCTACTGCTGCCATTGTTTTCAAACCATTTGGAAAGTTCCTTCCTTTTAAAGTTTAGAAACAAGAAATAGCCAAATGGAGCAAGGTCTGGACAGAAGAGTATATTGTCTATTTGTTAAAGTCCTAAATTTTTCAAAGTATCCATTGTCATGAAGAATATGAGTGCCTGACACTGCATGTAAAAAAAAAAAAAAAAAAAATCACTACATGCTGAAAAATCAACTTGCAGATGTTCACTTGATATTGTTTCTGATTATGAATTATAACCCCAATGAATTCCTTGGATCTCTCTGATCAACAATTTTAGATAATGAACATGATGGAGCATTTCTGGAGTTGACTGTTGAAAACCTCCTAGACTGTGTTGCATCTTGGTGGGGGTTGCAAAATCTCCCTGGTTGGGTCATAAACTTTTTCAGTCAAGTCTGATGGACATGTGTCAACCAATGTTTACATCATAAACTCATGGATTTCCTTTTGGAGTTTTCTTTTGCAGGAACAGGAACATCATGACAACCTGGAGTTCAACACTTGAAAATTCCAAACTTTTCTTTGACATGGTTCAGTCAATAATCTGAAACAAATTCAAAAATAAACGCAAGGATCCTACAAATTGGCACTTTACAATATAAAAGAAATTTTCAGCTACAGTGACAAAATAACACTCAGATTATGGGAAGTGAGTTGGGCCCAAGTATTTTTCAGTACCCCCCACACACACATACACACTCATAGGTAATCAGTATTTAAATAAGAAAATGGAATCCTATTATTTCTTCATTTATTCACACCC